TAATACTTTTTTTTTGATGAAGTTGTTTCATATATGGTTGTGAAATTGTTTCATATAATACTTAATGAAACTGTTTCATGTATTTCTCTAACATTAATGAAACTGTTTCATGTATTTCTCTAACATTAATGAAACTGTTTCATGTATTTCTCTAAAATTAAAATAATGAAGATGATAATATCTATGATAAATACCCTCCACAATAAAAATGATTAATCAACCTCTCACAATTACAAAAAAATGAACAAAATGAAAAATTATGATTGGTTGAATGCGGTTTGCACGGTTTGTACAAATTGAGTGGTTTGCATTTGATCGCTCCCCTATATATATATATATATATATATATAATCTTTCTACTAGATAATTGTTAGTTAAGATCCCATGAACTTTGTTTGTCCCATCCATATAAAAATCACATGTTTCAGTTTTTCATGTTTCATTCAGCTCCATCAATCATATCACTATACGTAATAAGAGATAATATAAATGTGAATTAGATAAATAAACAACTTATGTGTATTAATTTCATTGGTGGGACAAGATTGAGACTTTGATTACGAGAAGTGATTTTTATCATATACCTAAATAATATATGACAACAGGGTCAGATTCAAGGGAAAATCGCAAAAAAAAAATGAAAAATCAAGGAACACCCTGGTATGCATGTAACCGTTCATCAAGAGAATATGCATATGTGTATACAAGTAAGTTGTAAGCAATTTGTCTGGTATGCATAACATGCACATCGACATAAAAACCAAGAAATAGTTTCAGTTATTTATATTTATATGCATATATGGATACCGTCCAGATTAACGGTGATAAGATATTCCTCAGTTTTTCATTTTTTTGGTTTTCCCTTAAAGCTCCCTCTATAGCAATAATACTATATATGTATTATATATACTCCGTGTATGGCTTGCATTTTAGGGGCTACTCCAATCTAATTGCTACAAACCATACAATTCAAATACAAAACTTTGCCTTGACCATGTTATGTAATCTCGTATGATTTTTCAGTGTAAAATCATATGTAATCTAGACGTTTTCGTGTTCATTTATTTTCACACAGTATGTTACTATCTCTCTCTCTCTCTCTCTCTCTCTATATATATATATATATATATATATATAGGGGCCTATTCAAGAGAGAACTGAGTTATTTGTGGTAACTGTGAGAACCAATATTAACCACAAATCAATAGATAAATTAGGAAATTTATAAATTTGGTAATTTTAAATTAAAATCTTAATGCAGGGATATTTTTGGTATTTTAAAACTCTCCTCTCTCCTCTCTTCTCTCTTCGGCCACCGTCCGCCGGCCACCGTCCTCCGGTGATACCACTATGATACCACTGTGATACCTAAAAATATTGACTCTGTTAAACAAAAGATACACTGTGATACCTAATCATATATAAGATGCATRGTGATACCACTGTGTTACATCTTCGATCGACCACACAAACGACATCAATGTGATACCCAAACACATATATGATGCATTGTGATACCATTGTAGTATCACCGGAGGACGGTGGCCGGAGAGAGAAGAGAGGAGGGAGGAAAGTTTTAAAATACCAAAAATATCCTTATATTAAAATCTTAATTCAAAATTGCCAAAATTATAAATTTCCTGATTTATATATTGATTTGTGGTTAATATTGGTTCTCACAGTTACCACAAACTAAGTAGTTCTTATTTGATTAGCCCCCATATATATATATATATATATATATATCACTACAAAACAAATGACTTTTACCGACAAAAATATCATAGGGAAATTTCTGTCGGTGATTACCGAAGGACCACTCAAAGAATACCAATGGTTTGGTAGAATCCGATATTTCTTGAAAAAATGCCAATGGATCACCCAGAGAATCCAATCCTTTGGTAATCTGTCACTGATTTGAATTACCCACCAACAATTTGTAATGTTTTATGATAAATCACCATTTAGCTACAGATTTCCTAGGGAAAATCTATAGCCAAAAGTCTTTCATTTAGTAGTCTCTGTGTGTGTATATATATATATATATATATATATATATACTTAAGATCATGTAAGACCAAATTGTTTTTGTGAGACCCGTGGGACCACTTTTTTACACTTGAAACTTCACGACTAACCTTCACAATGTTTTTGCTATTTTTGCTATGAAGGCCGGATTTTTTAACAATCATAGTGTTTGCTATGAAGTTTCAAGTCTCACGTGAACCCAACCATATATATATATATATATATATATGACTTCAAAGAAGTGCCAAAAAACCCTAATTCCAATTGAATGAATTGTCTTTATCGTCAAACTTTGGTCATGGGTTTTTGTGAATGTATAGTAGGTGTCGTATCTATCTATCTATCTATGTGAAATATTCATGAGTACTACAAGAAGAGCACGCCTCATGATGGTGTCTGCTGTGAAGTTGGCATCGCTTAAAAGGGAAAACAAATTGGACAAACACAACATCTTATTGACCTCAAACAAAGTAAGACCTTATTATTATTGTTTCTTTGTTTGTTAGATTCATTACAGAATCATCAACTCATCCCATTCCTTGTCTTTTCTTTTCTCAAGATTTTATAAACATGATTCCACCTCAATTTCCTCAAACTTCATTATCAGATTCACAGTGCAATTCCCATATATTCCCTCCTACCTTAGATTCCTTCAGTGAAATCTTCTTGTACCTGCAAGGAATCCATCTTAATTTCATGGTAAGTCAAACTTACCGCGCCTTTTCTGTTTTAATATCTTGTGCCTACGGTTTGTCGTTCTCTCTGGTTGTTTTTCGTTTGTTTCAGTAGGTTTTCCTAGAATTTGGTTCAGCATTAAAACACATTAGAGATTTGATGCATGCTCGAAGACAGGCAGCAAGGCAAAAAGGCTCTACATTTCTTGATTCAACAAGTATATATATGCTTAATTTGTGGATTTCAAATGCAGATAACATTCCCATAACAAGCAACTCCTTATCCTGTTCTACTTCACTTTTAAGCCATTTATTTATTCCTGTTATTTAAACGTACGTAGTTTTAGTTTCTGTGAACCCTTGATTGACAAGACAACTTAACATGCAAGTTTAAGTAAACCATCTAGTGGCTGGTTCACATACCTCCACCAATCCTTCTTTAACACCCTTTTGATTTTACGCAACTATGTTTTCCCATGCCAAAAGATATTATGCTGTTCGCCATATATGTATATTACACAAATATAGTGCTAAATGAAACCGTACGACGTTGCCTTTTTTCGACAAAACAATGAATAAAAGGCATCCATCTATATATGCTGCTAAAATGGCATTCTTCTTCTTTTTTTCCTCGTGGGTATACTCAAACTTCTGTTATTTCCGATATTTACATCATATCTGTGAAGCATCGTGCACACCATGTTCTTGTGTTGAAAAACTTTGTATGATATAGAAGAGGTTATACCATGTGGTTTTTAGAGGGAGTTGTGCAGTTTTCATGTTAATCGGGTATACTGTTATTGAACTTCTTTCACAAATCTTTCGGTCTTAAACTGTAGATGATCATGAAACTTGTCCTCCATTTCATTTCATCATCGCAACACCTATGCCCATGTATGTCATTATGACAAATTGGGCCTTTTAGTATGCCAATTGTTCTAATAATGTACTTAACGGGATTTTTAAGTTCATAGGACCAACAATTGTGTATCTTATACGAAGACATACTAAGTTATTAGAACGAAGTTAGACAACTTGACATGTACAATCTCTTATGAAACAATAAGTCGTTAGGACGAAGTTGAAGTACTAACTAATAGGAGTCAAGGAGTAAATTAATCATCATGCTAATTAATTAACCTTTTTATATGACACACTTGAAACATATTTTACAGGAAACATCTTGAAAATGTTGATAAAACCATTTAGATTTTTAGTCCTATTAGGACGTCGTCCAAAACAACTAAAGATAGAACTTTCTAGGTCCCTTAATTAACTTCGGGCATCTTATCAACTTATTGTAATTTCATGTAAGACACACATTTGTTGGTACAATAAACTTAAAATTCCCACCGTACCATATTACGACAATTAGACATCCGAACGTAACATACCATTTTGTTGTGGTGTGTTCTATTAGAAGTTCTAATTTACTTGTATTTACATGTATAGATTCCCCAGATTACTTGAAGATGGTAGAGGATGGGAATTCGTAGGCTCTCGGCCTTCCATAAATTCGAAGACTATATGGTCGTAAGTGAAGTTCTTGGTCCAATTAATACAAATATTACATTTCAGCACTTTTTTCGGATATTATCTTGTAATTAACAATATTAATGTTGCAATGTTCTTATTCTCTGCAGCTAGTGTTAGACATAATTGTAGCGTAAGCAGATGAATAAGGAGCAAAGAAACAACAAAGCGAATGCACTGAAAAACAAACGAACAAGAAAGCTCCTGTATACAATGGTTCGTGATCAGGAAAATGCATTACTAGTACAAACCAGCACAACAGCAAGCTTGGGACTTAGCAGCTTTTATGCTGCATTAATAAGCACTTCACTTGTTAATTTGTCTTAACAAATCACAGATTATTAAAAACAAAATAATAATATATAATATGGTATAGCTTAACATAACAAATTTGATAAAGCTGCTTCACCGGTACTAGTTTTATTATGTACAGCAACTAGATCAATAGTTTGATATTGGTACATACATATATTCTAGTCACTATAATATATGTCTCTTTTCCCCCTTGGTGTAACAATAGGTCCAAAGTCGGGTTTTTGATTAATTACTTCCAAAGATCAATCTGGCATGTGGAGGTGGATATAGAGGCACCTTCTGAAGCAATCTCATCGCTCTTAGAGTCGCTTAGAAGCATGTTCATGTGTTCGGCCATTTGAAGAGATGATGAAGGAGGGTTCAGATAAGTGTTTTCCTTTGTGACAGCATCTTGATCATTACTGAGCTGAGAAGCAACAAATTTATCGAGTACTCGCCAATCAGTCACTTGAAGATCTTGTTCACCATTATTATTATTATTGTGATTATTATTATTATTATCACCGTAAAGTAAGTTGATGTTCGACTGCTGAATTGAGGGTTGGAAAGCGCTCCCATAGGAAGCACTTACGCTGGCAGCTGCGGATTGTGGAAATCTGAGAGATTCTAATTGAGGAAGCTGGAGGAAGGAATGCTCATGAGGCAAGTTGTAATGCATTTGATCAAGCTCAGATTTTCCAGGCAATTGATGCTGGTATGAATTATTTGCAGTATAAGGATGAGATATCCGGTTTGGGGATTCATAATCGGGCATGAATGAGACTTGATCATCATACCAGGATAGAGCATCATGTTCATCCATTCTACGTACCGTCGTTATTCGCTTTTTGAATACCCTGCAGACCACCCATCCTTCTTCCTGTTGCAAATAAAGCATAACACATGGGTTATTATTATACATTAGAATTGGTTCATCTTAAATCAATATATTCTTATATCTTGGTTTTTAAAGGCAATTGTATACCAGAATAATTGGCATTTGGCAAACCTTACTACACAGCTAGATGTGCTCAAAATTTAGATTTCCTTTCAACTTGTATCATCTTGTTATGAAGCTCAAGCTTCCCGTGTGATCAAACTAATGAAAGATTCAATTTCCAGAACACACTTTATTTCAATTGGTTTTGATAAATTAATTCAAGGTTTGACTCATTAAAGGTGTTAATTCGATCGTTGTAAAGGTCCTCCATTTTCGCTTCGATTAATGAAGAATACTAGCTCTCTCCCCAACCCTCCAAAAGAAAAAAAAAAAAAAAAAAAACTAAAATGGGGTCATTCTAGAAGAGAAGCAAAATAGTGATCTACATGCCATCAATTTTGCTTTAGAATTCCATGGAATTAATCTTGCATAGATTTCCATTGTTTCTTGAGTTTCCTCCAAGTGGAAACAAAAGTTAGAACAGTAAAACAGTTAGCTTTTGGATATATTTACCAAATAACTAACAGAAAGGGTGAAAAAAATAGATATGCTACTTGCCTGAGTCATTGCGTTTTCATTCGTTTCTAGCCTGTACTCGTGCATGATCCAATCTGATTTCTGTCCATTAGGAGCTCGACCCTTGTAAAAGACCAACGTCTTTCTCATGCCAACCAGATTATGCTTAGAATATATGGCCTTATCTCTTCCCGTGGCTTTCCAGAAGCCAACTTTTGTAGCCCTGTTAGTGCGAGTTCCTGTAGGATATTTTTTGTCCTTGTGGCTAAAGAAATACCACTCATTTTGTTCTTCAGTTCCTAGATTGCATAACTCTGTTAAGATAACATAGAAGAGTCAAGGAACAATCTGAATAGACATTATTACGGTATTAACGTAAGATAATTAGTGCTTAATCCGGGCATTGAAAGTTTTGCATCCACAATTCTGCCAAGGTACTCCTAAGTTGTATTTGGAATGAAAATTTCCAGGAGCCTCTAACTTGGTTCATGTTTGAAATTAATTGCTACCTTGAAGATCCCATGGCTCAATTTTGTAGAGATCCACATCTTTGATAACATCAAGATCAATTCTTTTGGATGCCACTTTTTTCCTAAGGTAGTAATCTACAAGTTCTTCATCCGTTGGGTGGAATCTAAAACCAGGAGGAACGTGCGAAAAGGTATTCATATTCTCAAAGGTGTTACGTCCAAAACCTGCAACATGTAAATGCACCATTGTCAGTAGGTAATTAGTTGTACACATACAACTATTGATCATCAATTAAACAAAGTAGAAAGATCATGTACTATTTCAATCTAGTCTCAAACTCTCAATAGCATATGTAAACCTTTTATCAGATAAATTATATTGAAATCTCAAGTCACAGGTAGAACGAGTACACAGCAACCCAGTTGCTTAATTTGTATCCAAATTTCTGGAATCAGACTAGAGTTTTTAAAATTGGAGAAAGAGAAGACTTGAAAGATAGAATCTAATGACTGCTTGTATTTGATCTTAATAGTCTGCAATACCTATATAGAAATGTCGTATATATCTAATATGAACTGAGCATTGAGCAACCTTATATATATGAGTACTAAAGAAACAAACAGTTGTCACTGGATCAAGTAGATGAGGATTAAGAAACTGGAGGAGGATGCATACCAGTTTCTTTCTAATGTTTACATTATACCTTATCTTATAGCTATTCTTCATTTCATGACTACAGTATCCCTACCACCAATCAGTAATCAACGTCTGTATGCTTATTTAATCCTTTTAGAAATGTTTTGAAGAGGAAGTGGAACACATGTTAGATGCTAGATTGACAAGAGTGCAACTCGCTTCATTGTTTGGCAACTTAACATTTAGAGTTACATGTCACTTTTGATCAAGCACGGTGAATTTCGTAATTGTGTCATCAAAGATCGAAGTTCTTGGACTCGCTAATGGCATTTTGTGAATCCTGAGCCTATATCAAGTTCAAACGTCAGCTAAAGTGACATAAAAAGGTGTCATTGATTGTCTTTGAACACTATGTTTTCTAGATTATATAAACTGCTAAAGAAAGAACATACAGATGCTAAGTAAATAGGAAAAACTAAAAGCAACCTATATGATCATACGGATCCTCAATAAAATACACAGCATATCTTGATAAAGATAAACGAATTATTAATCGTTTCATATTATAGACTCCAATTAAGCATTTATAAACTTGAGGGATGAATCAATATAGCTAACAAGGTCCTCACTTTTCATGCTCACTTCAAGCGAAATGTAAGAGGTAAGTAAAAGCTCCTAGCTAGCATTGAGAGGGTTAATTAGTTAAAGAAGGAATATCGTAATTTCTATGCAGTGTTTTTCTTTGGATTATTCACAAATACTTATGTAATCGATATGAATCCTTAACCTCAAATTCCGGTAAAAGAAGAGAAACCTAATTACCTGATGCTTATATATAAGTGGCTCAAATGCATGTTCATAGGTGATCAGGAGAGCATTCTGGTGTGATGCAGAAGAAATTTCCAATTTAGAAGAAGATGAAGATACAAAGCAAGAAAAGAGAGAAAGGAAGGTCATGTAGGGTAGAATGTAAATCATGTGAAATGAAATGCAATGTGTGGACAAGGTTTCTGCCATGCATTCTCATGGGAGAAGCACCATTTTATTACTTGATGATCAAGATAAAACTACTCAAGTTTGCTTTATCTTGAGAAAACCACTCAAGTTTCGCACCACTCGACAAAAGTGAATACCTGATAATAATGCGTAATCAAAGAACAACAACTTGACAATGTTAATTACCATACAAAAAGGCCTCAAATTAATACAGTCTACACACATAGAAGGGCATAGAGACAATCAAGAGGTTCCTTTTTGTTTCTTCATCATCTACTTTCAGAGATCTTGCTAGAAAATCAAATCTCAAACCGGAAATAAATACAGAAAAGTTCCTGAAATGAGATTAAGTATAGGAGCTTATTCATAATAGAAAAGAAAACATAGATGATCATGAACTTGTTATCTGTACTAACTACAAGTTGGAACTCTTTCCTCCTTTAATACCCAGATATAAACTATGCCGAAAAGTAAATTAGATGCAAGATCTCGATCAGATCATGGGATTAATCTTTGAATTCGGAAAGATCACTCCCAGGAAACTAAACTAGATAAACAAACACACAAAACAAAGAAGAACATGAAGAAGATGAAGCATAACAGATAATAAAACCTTAGAAATAGTTTCTAATTGATCAACTAGCTAGTCAGATTTCTTCAGATGGATCTGGTTCAGCTTCCTTCTACCAATGGATGATGTACAGAGAGAAACAAGATCACCTCCTCTTCAGTTAAGAAGCAAGAAAAGGAGACAAAAAAGGGGAAAAAAAAGCAAAGAACAAAAGGAATGTTTGGGACCCAAAAGGGTTCTATTTTCCTCGGGAATTGAAGTGAAAAGAAGTTTGTCCTTTGGCTGTCTGAATAGCTTCAGATCCCGAGAAAATTAAAGCTAATGACGACAAAAAAAAAAAAAAAACAAAGAGCAGAAAGTTGATGAAATAACATAAACCGAAAGGATGAATAAGAAAAGGGTATCTTACTTAATTATAGAGTTATATCGCTGTATCTTCGTATATGTGTAGAAGTTGATGGGAAGAGCTTGATTGCCGGAAAAGCTTCCTGATAAAAAGAAGGGAGGAAGATGATGCGGAAAAAGGTGGCGGTCATATACTAATACTCCACCACCCGCCACCAGCTACTGATGGAGACACACGGTATATATATATATATATGTATATACACACATATATATCACACAACACACATATAATAGTAGAATTATAATGTTATACTGATTTCTTTCCCTCTTTCTTTCAGCTTTTTAGGTCGTCTGGAAGAGAGAGAGAGAGAGAGAGAGAGAGAGAGAGAGAGAGAGAGAGATATGAGGTGAGGTGAGGTGAGATTTAAGAATGTGACGGCATGGGATCACTTAAAGGACACCCACACCCACATACCCGACCAAAAAGAATGTGTGGGAAGATTTCTTTTTTGGGGTTTTGGGTTTCTATTAAGAGCATATATATATATATATATATATATATATATATATATATATATA